GCTGCCTCTGGTTTATGTGGCGCTGCCTATGGTCTACGTGGCATGCTAATGTGGCGCTGCCTCTGGTATAAGTGGCGCTGCCTGTGGTCTACATGGCATGCTGATGTGGCGCTGCCTCTGGTATACGTGGCGCTGCCCATGGTCTACGTGGTATGATGATGTGGCGCTGCTCCTGTCTACGTGGCACTGTTCTTGGTCTTCATTGATGATGTGGCATATGCCACATGTCTCGTCTGCTGATGTGGCATTGTCCACACAACTTACATGAGGTGACTGGTTGCGAGGGAGAGTAAGATCAGGACTGTGGAGAGATCGTGATACGTACCTGGTGGTCTTCATGATGACATTGCTCCAGCGCTGAAGAGGGACTAATTAGAAGTGTCACTTGGCACATTGAAATTACTTCAGATACTTGTTCAGACTGTTGATTACTAAAGTGGAGTTGGAGGAGGGAGCCCGAAGCAGGAGTGAGCATTCTTCCTCTCCTTTGTCTATCCTCCCTCCTCTCTTCTTCGTCTGTGAATGATTATCTCGTCTTATTCTGTCTGGACACTATCTTGATTATTGGTTCTCATCAGCTGTTGACATCTATCTGGACTTGCATTGTTGACAACTGTGTTCATGATCTGGGTCCATTACAATTTGGTATCGGAGCATCTCTTCATCGCAATCTGCTGTCTACTATTAGGTGTTGACGTGGCACCCAGGTAAGTGGGAGGTGTCGCAAGTGCAATATGAAACGCGTTTATTAACGCGCACGGTCATACCGCAAGTCTAGACATGGTAGTAGTGCACTTGCGAGCAACCATCCCTTGAAGATGATGACCAGGCTACGTTGAAGCTTGAAGAGCTGCGTTGGCAACAGGCTGACGTGACATTGGTACCACTGATGTGGCAATGTGGCATATTGTTTCTTCGCAGGATATGGTCTGACGTGGCACATATATGTGCCGTGATTACCTGCTGATTGGGCATTGACGTGGCATGCCAGTGTATGCGTGTGACAACCACACATTGCTGACGTGGCATCCCCCTTGTATACCTCCGGGTCCTTGATGTGCTGACGTGGCAGACTCCAACGAGCTGCTGTGTTGGCATGCCAGGGGTGACATGTGGCATGTGTTGGGTGAGTTGTCGAGTGTGTTGGTCGCTGCAGACAGTACAGCTAATAGAGAGAGGAGGCTGACAATTGTTTGTGATTGTTGTGTTGGTTTCCTACTTACTTGTTAGCTGTTTTGTAGTGTCTGTGCATACTCACCTGTGTGTTGATGTCTTGATGACACTGGCCATGGTTGCGGTACCTGTGCACATATTGTAGGACGTCATCACATAGAACAAACAGACAACAAAATAGATTAGTAAATTATTGATCATCATCTGTTTCTTTGTATTTGCCTTGGTGAACTCTTGCTGTGAAAGATTGCGTGCGTCGTGGAATTTATTTCTGTCTTTTAATTTTATTTATTGTGCGGCATCTGCACGCTTGGCAGAATGCATTCTCTTTGGAAATGTCTGCGTGCCTCTATCTTGACTAGGTTCATACCCCTCTTCTTCTTTCCCATACCTCTCACCGTCTTTGTTGATGAAGAGAGAGTGGAACTGAAAACCCGTGGACAGATTGACAGAAGGAGACAAACTTTGTTGGGTCTTCTTCGTCAGCTGCTTGGCGAGATACATGGTGCCGGTCCAGATGTTGAACAACATGTTCACGGACCAGGTCAATCTGCGTGATGCAGAAGGAGATCTGCAGGCCGCTGAAACTGTTGTTCAGATGATGGAGACAGGCCAGAGAGTCGAAGAACTCATAAAGCAAGGACGATTAGTCCTTGATTGGTATGTCGCCGAGGGCCTTGAAAAACTAGACCGGGAAAGAAAAGAAAAGAAAGAAGAGAGGGTTGGAAGAAAAGAACCACAATTGTCTGTGGAATTGATGGAGGAAAACATCAGACAACTTGAAAACACATTGAAAGAAGAAAGAAGAAAGATTGAAGAGTATAGAAGATTGAAAGAACAGCAAGAAGAAGAAGAGAAAGTAATGGAAGAATTGAGGCAAAGGTTTCACTACGAAGAAGCAGGAAGTGAGGTTGCATCTATTCTCCAGTCTATCATGGTCTACCTCATGCGTCTTGAAAAGAAGATTGAGAAGAACACCGCCGCAGTTGAGTCCATGACCAGAATGATGAAAGGGAACGACAAGGTGGTGTATGAGGAGGTGGCCAAGGGGGAAGAAGATAAGAAACCCCCGGAGAAACTAATGAAGGATGCAACGAAACGGGTCACGCCCGAGAAACCGGAAGGTTCCAAGAAAGAACCTTAGAAGCCGGATGAGAAGAAAGAAGAACCCACCAGAAAGAAAGAAGAACCAGCGAAAGAAGCGGAAAAGCCTAAGAAGAAGGAAAAGGTGAAAATGAAGTTACCATTCACCTACAGTAACAAGAAGGATGAAAACTTGTTGTTGTGGATTGCCGAAATCCAGACTTACTGTAGTACCGCACCCGTGGAACCCGAGAGTCAGGTTGCTTTCTCAACGTCTTGTTTAGGAAAAGTGGGCAAGGAATGGGTGCTGGCTGAGGCCAATGCCGCTGGCTTGAGGATATTGGTGAGTGGGCAAAGACCCTGACGTTGAGGCAATTTCTCCAAAAGATAAAGGAGAGGTTCCTTGACAAAACGACGGCCGACAAGGCTTTTGCCGAGCTCACCACCATTAGCCAGAAACGTTAGACTTTTGTCGATGCGTTGTCTCGTGAAGTTGATCGTCTGTTGCAGGTACCTGGATTGAATTTGCAGGATAACCAGGTCCTATACATTTACTCATGAGCGTTGCCCGAGCCTATTCGTGGACAGCTCGTGGCCGAATCGAAATCTGGTAAGTATAATTATCGGCATTTCCGCGACCTTGCTCTTCAGAGGGAGCAGATGACCGCACAGGTCAAAGGTTCGTACGCTTCGGTTGTTAAGTCAGGACCGGTTGGTGGGTACGGCAAGCGGGTCCTTTGGCGGAAAAAGCGCCAGGACCATATGCTTGTGCTGTTCGACGACGAAACAGTAGAGAAGTTACCTCTTGATGAGTCTGAGGGAGGAGGAGGTAACGGTGGCAGTGAATCTGGGAAGGGTGATGTCACTGCCGTAATGGCCAACACGGGAGGCCAAAACCAGTGGAAGAAGAAGAAGAGGCCACGCTCGTTTCCCGAGCATCCCGACATTGCGTTTGGGAGACCTTGGAAAAAGATGAACATGACTAGGGAGGAATGGCAATCCAAGATGGACAACCGCCAGTGCCTCAAGTGTGGCACCGTGGAGCATGTGATCGCTTGGTGCCCACTTATCCGTAACCCAAAAGCGAGCAGCCAGTAGGAGTAGCATCTGCTCCTACTGAGTCGAAGGGTATAGACGAAGAAAAAGGTAAGGCGCCTACAACCCTTCTACCCCTTCGACTCTCAAGGCAGAGGATGACTCTTCTTCCGCCCGTCGTCCAGACCACCCTGACACTGTGCTATGTCCTGTCAATGATCGCGGATGTTGAGATTGCACACACGCGAGTAGGTGCTCTGTTAGATCCGGGATCGACGCGGTCTTATATCTCAGAGAATGCAATTTGAAAATTGCATCTGAGAATGAAGGTAAAAGATTTACCTAGACCTATCACGTCTATACTGGTTGATAAGAGCACGATCACTGTCTCTCAATACGTCGATTGTGTCAAGTGTTATTTCAGAACAAAGAGAAGGTAAGAGAATTCTACACAAGGTATCCTTCCTAATTGAAAATAATTTACCCTGTGACTTAATTTTGGGTATGGATTGGCATGAGGAAGCCGACCCAGAAGTCAAGTTCAAAGATAAAATTGTCAAAATTAAGGACGATAAGTACGAAATGCGTGTGATAAAGTGGTACCATAAGTTTGGCTCTGACTCTACTCTGTCTTTTTGCTGTATGAGTTACCCAGCTTTCCGATCGATGGTAACAAAGAAAAAGTTGGATCAGGAGGTGATGATGGTGCTTGTTAAGCGTGTAGGTGAGTGTTCTTCATCCTACCCACCTTCTATTGAAAAACTTCTTAACAAGTACAAGGACTTGCAGACTGAGCCGACGGGAATCACTAAGTGTGCTATCAAGCACACTATTGAGATTATTCCTGGAAGCAAGATTCCCAAAGGACCCATTTACCGTATGTCTTCCAGGGAACTTGAGGAATTACGGAAACAGCTGCAGGAACTTACTGACAAGGGATGGATTCGCCCTTGCTCATCTCCTTATGGTGCACCTGTCTTGTTCGTACCCAAAAAGGAAGGTGAACTTCACTTGTGTATTGATTATCGTGGGCTGAATTTCGTCACTGTTACAAACGCGGAACCTCTTCCGCGCATTGACGATCAATTAGACCAACTAGAGGGATGCAGGTATTTCAGCAAGATTGATCTCAAGTCAGGGTACCACCAGATCGAGGTGGCTCATGAAGATCAACACAAGACGGCGTTTCGAACAAGGTATGGTCACTACGAGTTTGTGGTAATGCCTTTTGGTCTGACTAACGCCCTCTGCAACTTTCCAGAGGTCTACGAATGAGTTGTTTCGTCAATGGTTGGACCAATTCGAAATTGTCTATCTCGATGATATCTTAGTGTACAGTAAAACACTGGAAGACCACGAGAAACATCTGCGAATGGTTCTCCAGAAGTTACGTGAAGGTAACTTCAAACTGAATCCTAAGAAATCTGAATTTGCTAAGCCTGAAGTGCTATACTTAGGGCATATAGTGAATGAAGAAGGACTAAGACGAGAAGAAAAAAAAATTACAGAAATCCGAGATTGGCCACAACCTAAAACTATAACTGAACTCAGATCTTTCCTAGGACTTGCTAGTTATTATAGGAAGTTCGTCAGAAACTTCTCCTTGATAGCTGCTCCTATGAGAAGACTGCTAAAGAAAGAAAAACCTTGGTTGTGGGACAAAGATTGTGAGTCGTCATTCAGGAAACTGAAATCTGTTTTGTACCCAGCCCAGGCCGCCGGTCAAGCACACACACTTGTTTGTATGCAGGTACCCGGACAACTTCCAAGCCAAGTGGAAAACTGCAACTGTACGCGATCCAGATCTTCGACGGCGGGTCAATCTGGACGACTGTGACTCGTGGACTGGAGGCCACA